TAAACAAAGAAAATCTAACTGCATTAGCAAATTTTTTTTTTGCATTTCGGCCAAAAAAATTTTCAAAAGTAATTTACAAAAAACATTAATTACGAACCGTACAGACCAAATGTCCCTCCACCAAGAAGTGATGGATTTCGGCCAAATGAACCCCAACCGAGCAGACGAGGTCCACTGGGACCGGCGCCATTCGCCAGTAACTCGTTGAGAAATCTACGATCCGGAAATCTTCGCCAAAACAATTTCAAATCTGGTTCTCCATTTCCTTCGTATTCACTGCCAGCAACTTTTTGGAAACCCACTAATTGACCGAGAGCTGACGTGCTATAAACCGTAAATAAAAACAGTAAAGGTTCAAAATCCATTAAGCACACTGCCAGAGCCGCTTACAGTTAAAACAGGTTTCGAGGTACCAATCAATGAGACATTCTGCGTTCAGAACCAGTTTCTGCACCAACTGAAGATCATCAATCCCGTAAGCACGCATGCTAATATTATATTCAATTACCAAAAGTCAAAAATGCCTTTCAAGTTTTTTATGCAATTTCGCATATTATGCGGACGCAAAAATGCATGTTGGCAAGAGGTTATCTGTGTGTGCCTGTGTTTTCACATTTTTTGTCACCCACTTTCAACTCGAGAACCAGGGATGCTAGGAAGCTGGATCTTTGGGAGTATGTGCCCACTCCATATGCAATCCTCCGGTTTTAGTATTATCATTCGCGTACACTCGGTGCCCACTTACGGATGTCTTTTCTAACGACGAGTTTTTGCAAGAAAACTTTCACTCGCATAGGCTCAGTTGTTTTGTTTTTATCCATATGTTCAGATTTTCTTTTGATTTTGCTTTTTTTTTTTACTTTTATCCATAGGTTCTAGTTTGGTTTAATTTTCTTTTCTTTGTAGTGCTGTGTTGTCTCTTTCTTTCTACAGCTGTCTTCAATTCTTGCCTCAAGCTTCTGACTTGCATCCCCGTTCCTCCTCTCTACTCTGTCCTTAAGTCCTGCCTGTAAAGCAGTATCTGAGCTCCTCTATTTCACTATAAGAGCACTATGGAATCCTTTCCCTATTCATGGAACCGTTTCACTTTCTCCTCCTTACCACCTACCACCCCTTCCCAAACCCTCCAAATAGATGGATTGTTGTTTCAGCAGTGATTGGAGCGAAGATTCGAATTTTGCACTGAAACTCAGGAAATCGTCTCTAATGTCGAATGTAACTCCGTTGACTAAGTACAACTTTTCACTATCTCTTGCTAGAATTATTACTTTGCAAGGCAACATAGATCTAATTGAATAGTGCTTTTCTAAGTTGTAAAATGCACACACTGAGCGTGATTTCTTTCAAGGATTTTCAAAACTGATTTATATTTGATACTCGGGATAATAATTTGCGACCGTTGGAAGGCCGAATCGTAGTCTTTAAAACAAGTGGACGGTCAAAAGCAAACAAAATACGGAGCGGCCACAGTCCGAAAACTTAAACCCTTGGCCGGTTACCGAAAACTCAGTGACTATCTTATAGTCTGTGGTTGCTCCACCACCACCACCACCACCACCCACTACCACCAACACACACACAGAGAAGCAGCCACCGCATAATAATCTGTTCGAATGTGGCCCAACCACGAAATCGTACAAAACCATTTATGTCTCTCTTCTCGACTGGCCGGCTAGCTGATGTATTCATGTGGGACATTGTCCGGAAAACTCCTCATGTTTTAGCCACAAGTACGTGAAGTTGCGCAAAAAATATGATATGACGAATTTTTATTATCATAGTGTTATACGAATAATCGATATACGTAGAAGTTTTTATCTAGTAGCAGCAAACTGAGGAAATTTTCACCATCCGGTTCCAAATAATTTTGAAAAAATTGAAAATTCGTCAAAATAAGTACCAAGTTGCATCCATAAAGCAAAAATTTTCCCAACAACTATGAATCGGAACATTTTATCTTCCCAAAGACACGATGATACTACCAAAATTTCAAACTTTAAACTTTTCCAGCTGGAATAACATTTTTTTAAAAAAAAGTAACAATTTTCTGAGGAAAAATTCACTTCTCCTGTACCTCCTCATAGACCTCAAAACAGCCAAAAACAATTCAAATAGCAGTTCCTCTTTCCAGATCGCTTTTCAGGTCTTCCGTATATTTGTCATAGAAACGATCCAGCTTCTGGTTGAATTTACGATTGCGTTCGTTGATGTAATCGATTGGTGCATCCGGATCGAACATTCGCCGACGATGGTACTGATCACGTTTCTTTGCCCTGCAAAACAAACGGTTTGATTACTGTCCCAAAGTTGTTCTTTGAAAAAAAAAAAAAAAAAACGATGACTTATATCCAAAACTGGCGTTTTTTTCCTTGCTTCGAGGAAACTGAGGTCGGCTTGTATCCGAGACGTGAGCTGGTACCACTGGGCATTGAAATGAATCATGCGAAGTTAAGTTTCCCACCGACAAATTTCGTCCAAACGTTTGAGGCCCAGAGTTCAGAAATCAGTACACTACAAAAATTGCTAAATCTTCTGCCTAAACATTTTTTCTTAAACAATACGATAAAAACTTCTAAACGATACTTCCTTGGTACCATAACAAAAGCGGCAAATCTAATAGGATTCCCAGGACAAACAGTAGTGAAAAATGTAAGCCCTGTAAGACTCCTTGCAGAGGGACGGCGATATACTAAAATTACAGGAAGATCCCCACTCTCCCTATCAGTATTACTTGGGTAAAGGAGAGGCAAAGTAAAATCGCAGATTACGGATGTATTAAATGTCATGGGAAACGGG